GGAAGAGGACGCCGGATGGTACAGAAAATTAAGAAGAGGAAAATAGAAAAAAAAAAAAAAAGAGCTGACGAGACGATGGCGAAGTCTATAATGACGTTGCCCCTGTACGGTCAAGAGTTGGCGGAGTTATGTTATATATATACACACGTGTACCATTATAACATATACACATATATATGTTATGCACACGCGGTGCGCGGATCTTCGCATGGGGGGGCCCTCACATCCATACAATATTAATATATTACGTCCTGCGTTTCGTATATACACGAATTTCTATTTCTTTTCCTTTTACGTGCTTTATACTTATTTACATATAATATATGATACATGTATTTTATATATCCCCAAAGAGAATGACTCTGTTTTATTATACGCGATTGACTCGCGGCTCCGTCGATCGCGAAATCGGAGAAAGCGGGAAGAAGGACTTTTTTATCCTCCTTTTTTTTAATATATATATATATATATATATATGTGTAGGGGTAATCGAAGCCCAAAGGAAACGAGATCAAATATAATGAGTCTCCGAACAATATATAGCCGAGCATTTATGTATATATGTATATATATAGATGCCCGTAGACAATGTCATTATACAGAAAAGGATACCNTATATATTGATATTATAGTTTAACCGCATTAACCGCTGCCGCTAGTTCTCCCGACTAATGGATCAAAGGATTAATGTATAGTAATCGGCAATCGGGAGCGCCGAACTCGGGGCGAAAGTCGTCGCGTGTATGCCGAGGAGGAGGAGGAGGAGGCGAATGAAAATCTCCGCGGTGTGTCTCTCTCAAGATGCTTGCACTCGTGTATATATGTATACATATTGTTATTATGTATATATACATTAATCGAAGGGGAATAAAAGATATAGTGGGAGGAGAAAACGCAAGGGCGGGGGAAGAAAGAAGGAGCGGGCAATGAGGGTCCATTGGAGCACGCGGCCGCTGCAGGGCGGGATCTGCGCCAATAAAGGCGTACATATCGGGAGGGATACGCGCGTGGACCGCTGCATCGGCTATACTGCGTCGGTGGCCTTGTAAGGTGTATATATACATACAGTGTCTGTACATAGGTTGCAATCTCTCTCTCTCTCTCTCTCTCTCTCCTCTCTTGGAACAATAGATCCTCTTCTGCGTGCTGATCCAGCGGATGGGTGTGCGGTTGTACACAATATACACTAGTAGCAGAGGAGGAGGTAAAGTGCGTGCGGTAACGAGGAGCTCCCGCGCTACCCATTGCATATCTCCGGATAGGAGAGAAAACGCTCCGTTAGTGCACAGGACCGCAACGAGAGAGAGAGAGAGAGAGAGAGAGACTCGCTTCTTCTTTATACGTGTCCAATGTATACATGTATATACACACGTGAGAGGGAGATCGCGGCGAAATCGAAAGAAACGACTGGCTCTCGGCCATATATCAAGGCGTGTACCGAGCGAGAGAGCGCGATAACGAGCTCACCCTCCACGAGCATGCAGCTGCTTGTTGCCACCACCACCACCTCCCTCCCCTCGGCCCTTTTTTCTGTTTTTTTTTTTTTTTTTACTCCGTGCGTCCTGCGTGCGTCCGATACTCGGCCAATTTTTCTAGCTGGTGATGGCAATAACCGGTATATATGTATACCGATCTCTTCTGCCGTATACCGATCTTGCCGATTTTATACGGGTACACCGCGGCTCCTCGTGCGCCTCGTTATTCGAAGTGCCATGCACGTTCTCGTATACGTCATTCGCACCCTCGTGCATTGCATATACCTATGCGCAGAGATATATGGTTGAATAGGTACAGAGACGCGGCGGCGAAAGCTCTGAAAAAGCTCGATACGGTGATGACAATCACCACGGCTGATATGTACGAATTTATATTAAGGAAGAAACGAAGCTGTAGGTAATACATGTAAAATATATGTGCGTATGGTATACCTACCAAACAAAACTTTCGTGTATGGAAAAATTTAAAAAAAAAAAAAAAAAAAAAAGCGAGAATGCGATCATTTATACGATTATATACACGGGGTGTACGTAAAATGTAATGCGCCCTGGAAATTGAGGCAGAATACTTATAGCTGTAGGCACAAATCAATGCGCGCATTATTATAGTTACGTACGCGATACGTGCATAATATACAATATATACAGCAAGACAATGCGCTCGTGCATAATATAATATAATATATAATATATATTGTACATATACCTTGGCGATTAAGGTATCGTAGTATGCGTACATAATAACATATACCATAAACACTGCACACATGCACGCGTGCACTTTTACACGTATATATGTATATGTATATGTGCAATATAAGTAGCTCTGCCTCTCCGCGAAACGGTTAAAGCTCGTCCTCCTCGCTCTGGTGCACTGCATGCACACACTACTTATACACCCGTGACCGTATATATATATCTATATATAATATATCTTACGTGGAGTGCGCGCAAGTGGTACACATATGTAGGTACGGAGTACGGAGCGAGCAAGCGGCAATTATCGTGCTTCGCCCGCGGCTTCTGCACTTCCCCCCCTGTACGGAAGGTGTATATATATATAGTCTTTCTCTCTCTCTCCTCGCTTCTTCCGTGCAGCTCTTCTCTCGTGTGTCCGGTCAGTATTTTAACACATACAAGTAGGTACCCAAAGCCCTCCCTTTTACTTGTAGCCAACAGCAGCAAAAGCAGTGGCTATATAATATTATATGAACCCTGCACCTCCGTAGGTATATACATATATATAAAACAGCACGCGCGGCCGAGGAGGTGATATTACTGCACGGTATACATTATGTATCATATAAATATGTACTATATAGGTATATAACCCGCGCCATTAAAGGGGTAGGAGAGAGGCTCTCGTCCTCGCTCACGGCACTTTGGACCCCCATCCCGACTATATAGTCGCCCCGTCTATACAGGTATACATACCTATACGTACACCCATATGTATATATATATAAATATATATTTTTTATATTATAGTGCTCTACGTTCGGCTCCTTTAATAATGGCACTACTATGGGCACTTAGCACTTGCGGGAAAGGGACAAGGAAAGGGTTGGGAAGCCTCCCATTACTGGGAGGGGGGTAGAGGGAAATTAGACAATTTTTGCTGCGAGGAGGTCGCCTAAACCCTCCTCGAGGAGCATTGCGTGGTGAAAACGCACATGTGAACAATCACAGAGGTACTTGACCGAAAAAGTCGCACTGGCCGGGAATCGAACCGCGGTCTCCCCCGCGTGCCAATCCACGACCTATAGTCGACCGAGCCACCGCGCGCTCATTTGTATATATGATTGCCGTATTAGGATTGCCTATATATATGTATGGGTGAAAAGTAACGAAAAAATAATGAAAAGGGGGAATCGCGCGAGAGTCGAGCTTTCGGTGAAAATCGGCGTCGAGTGTATACGATTGTAAGTATAACATAACATAGGGTGGACGCGCCCGTACAAGTGGGAACCGGTAGAGCCGCGGATCGGCCGATTGTCCTTCGGTTAACTACCGGCACTGCGCAAACGAACAAACGAACGCAACGAAAAAAAAAAAACGACGAATCTCCCTGCTCTCGTTCGAAGCCGCGCTGACGTAGAAGAATTTAGGAGCGACGGCGACAGCAAAGGGATGCGCTGCACCAGCTATATACACATGCAGAGAGAGAGAGAAGTACGGGAGCGTGTGTAGCGCTGTGGACCCTTTGAAGTCGAAAAACAATGGCATTGTCTCTTCACTCCAACTCTCGTCCGGTGGCGCGACTCCTCCTGCCTCCCCCCCCCCAGCCCCTTTGGCCGCTACCTTGCTCCCCCCCTCCCTCGTATAATCGTCCAGTTTAGGGAAAAGAGAAAGGCCTCGCTCCTTCCTCTTGCTCGGACGTAAGTATACATATATAATCGGCCGCAAAAGTATACGCACGCGTGTAGCGATCAAAAGCCCGACCCTTATTTCGCCCTCCTCCCTATTATATTATACACTTTCCCTCCCCCCCGCGTATACATACTCACGCGACTGACTCTCTTCCTTGCGGGTATATATTAATTAATCCAGCCTAATATATATATTAATAGCGCAGTGTACATTAGATGTGGTTTTATAAGGTGTTGAGGCGATGTTTTTTGGGGCGTAAACAGTGCGCTGGCTCCACGCGACTATAGTCGCCTGCCCAGCTCTTGCAAGTATATACATAAGTTAGGTGGTGTATCATGCAAATCGGTTCGCGAGAGGAGAAAGAATCGACATGGGGGACGGTCGGGGACAGGTAGAGTCGGCGGAAAGAAGGTAGATATATACACACACGCTCGAGTGTGTAAGGAGACAGGGGGGGGGGGTCGTTGACGGACTCTCTCGCTGACAGAGAGAGTACCCGGTGATCGGTCGATGGTTCAAAAAGATCGATACAGCGGAGAACATAAGTATAGGGAGGACGCGGACACGGTAGGCTGATTCGCTATACCTATATATACTCCTCCTCTTTGTCGTACAGTTGTCGTGTCTGGGGTATTCTTCGTTTGTTTGCCGGATGGCAAAAAAAGAAAAAAAAAAAAAAAAAAAGTGACCGCGAGAAAAGAGAGTGAGAGAGGAGACCATTAAGCTCCGCGGCGTAGTGTCTTTCTTCGATTGCGCGATGGCTGATCGGTGTACGTATCAACGAGTGTATCTGTTGATGTTGGCGCTGCTACTTACTGCTGATTTATCGTGTCTAAAGTATTATCCAAAGTTATAGCCACGTCGTGTCAAAAAGCAGGGAAATTTTGTCGAAAATTGATTTCAAAAAGTATATATTAACGCAAAACGAGATGATCTATTTTTTGACTGTACAAGAGAGGAAAAACCATGCATCACCAATAAAAAAGTCGTTAATGTTTTTTTTTTTTTCCTCCTGGAGGGGGGTGTAATTTTTTACCTGATGTTTTGCTACGTTCGGGGGAATATCGATAATTTTAAGTGTGGAAAAAATATCATCGACACGTTTGCCATTTGTGTTTTTTCCTTCTGACGCAGGAACATTGGAAAACGAGGAGACAGGCCGCGGTCCACGACATGACGACCAATCCATCGGCTTCCGGGATCGAGACGCCGGTAAGCTGTATATACATAATATATTTACAGTAATTCGCACTTTTAGCATGCCTATATATACAAACCCCTACGTAAGTATGTGCATATATATATATATATATATATATATATATATTTGCAAGGGAGAAAAAAAAGTTAGGTACGCATACTATATACACCTATTGTAATCTAAGTATGACCGTCCGTGTCTCGTGAGCTAGTAGTAACAGCACAGTACGGTAGTACACGTACAAGTAGTATCAGCACGACAGAGGTAGGACATCGGGTGGTTGCACATCGAGGCGTATATATACGCACCGAGTCCCCCCCCCCACACACACATATATATACCAAAGTACTCCTCCGAAGGCAGGTTCCCGTGGACTTGTCAACTGGTTTTTGCTGCCATATGCGCCATGATACACTGCACACCTCGAGAGTAACCTCTCCGCTCTTGTATATAGATGGGGTATGGGTGAGCGGCCGGAGGAAGCCGATGAATTTCCAAGTTATACGTGCGCGCGTACCCGTGATTCTATAGGGTTTTTTGCCACTCGCGCGGCCAATCCCCCCCCCCCCTCTCGCGAAGCATGTACTTGCACGCAAGTATATGACCTAAGCAGAGAGACTCGTCACGGGTTAGGAGTTGGCTCGCGCGTGCATTAGGAGGAGGAGAGAGCTCTCTCGTTTCCGCAACCCTCCCCTCCCCCTTCTTTTGCATCGCGCTTTTGTCGGTTATATACTTACCGCGTGGCTTTTCTCGCGAATTGTTTCGAGTGTTAATTTTTTTTTTTTTTTTTTCGTTTAGTTCAGTTTCCGCGCTATGTAGCATGTATTGATTGCAGTTTCTGCCCTACAGACAATTGCGTCCCAAGATAAGGTGGGATTCATCGTTGGGCCAAAGACGGAGAAAAGACCGATACACATTGGGTCCGGTCAACCGCTGATGGATGACACGAGCAAAGATAGGATCTGACTCCAAAGTTACGCAGAGAGAGAGAGAGAGAGAAGAGTCATATATGTATAAACCCCTTACACCGACGTATCATATATAATATATTGTACGGGAGGGGCACAGCAGCAGGAGGAGGAGGAGGAGGGTAAAAAAACGAAGGGTTTCGTTGGTATGGGGCTCGTGTGGCGACCGGTGCCACTGGTTGCACGCGACCGAGCAGCGAATAGAAGAAGGATGCCTGCGTGAGTCCCATACATATATATGTGTGTGTATGTACGTGCAGGGTATAAAACACGCCAAGGGCTAGAAGCTGCATGTATGCACACAACGGAGCTGATACTTCCTCCCCCCCCCTTCTCATCGGGGGCTCATCCTCTTCTGGCCCCTCCTCCCACCCCCCGTGTCCCCTGCATCTCTCGCTGCTGATTTTATTCTGCCCCGGGTGAGGCATCTCCTCGTTCGCGTGAGCAGCTCCGCATCAACGAATATTCATCTCTCGGTGCTGCTGTACGGTCGCGTTGCATTGAAATCTCGAGCTGCTGCCCTGCCGAGGTGGAACAGCCATCAGAGAAGAGGGTATAACGTATACAGATCGGAGAATGCGCGTGTAGCCACAGGAGGAGTAGGAGGCAAGGCCGGTCACAGGATGTGTGTTTGCGAGGGGAGGGGGGGAAGGCAGCTTGGGCGGAGGCTGGGCGAGAGAGGAGCGAGAAATAAAAGGTGGCTGTGCGTCGCACGAGAGGAAGCAGCGGCAACGGTAGGTTGTACATCGGGAGATACATATATATATATATAGGTGGAGGGAAGAAAGGAGCCACTGCTTCTTCCTCCTCCTGCTCTCGGTGCGTCTCCGTGACACCTGCTCTTGCTCTCTCTCTCTCTCTATACCGCTGTCCTCTGGCCTCATATAGCTGCGGCGGCGGGGAATTAAAATTCCTCCCGTATCTCCGCTTCGAGATCCGACGTTGATTTACTCACTTTCCGTCCTGCTCGAGTTAATCGAGTTTTCGTGTCTTGCCGGGGCTAAGCTCCGCGCGACATTTGCGCCCCCATGTTTTTCTCTTGCGCACGATTGTTTTTTTTTTTTTTTTTTTTTTTCTCTTTTTCTTCGTTTATTTTATGTATTGTTTGCCACTCGCGAATCCCGGGGAGAGCAAAAAGGGACCACTTCCTCACAAACAAATGGACAAACTATGACTTTTGCTTATACATATACGGCTTGCAAATTTCATGACAACAAATATACAGCGCTAATCGTATGAACTCATCTTAAGCTCTGGATGTCACAGTATATGAACTAGAGTTGCGTTCACGTTTTTTCAAAAGACCGATTTTTTTCCGATTCACAGATCATGCAAGAACCATTCGATAAATTGAAATAACAGCCAAAGCGTTTTTTTTTTTTTTTTTATTTTACCCATGTACGTACACGCTACGAAACAATACGAAAGTAGATCGGTATGCATTTACAACGCCGATTTCCGAGTAAAGCTTTTTTGTCCATCGGTAACCTTGCGGACGAATGGCGAGCAACAACAACACCGGGGTAAAAAGTCTGCACCGTAATGCCTCTCGGTCGGCTTTTACGAGGTAAAAATTCGAAAATTGCCCTTTGCACCGAGAGAGAGAGAGAGAATACAGTGGGTATAGGTTGCCGCACTTACACCTTGTACTTTGAACCTCCCGGCACCGGGAATCGCAAAATTACGCGCTTATATACTTGCAAAGACATGGGCCGTCAAAACAAAAGGCTTGGAAATAATCCTGCGCAAGTTTTTGCAAAACAATTTGTAAGTGGATGATATATAACTCTACGGGGAAAAAAATCGGCAAGGAATCGGTACGTATACTCGGTTGTGAAAGAAGAAAAAAATACCATTGGGCTGCGGTACAAAAGTATATTACAGGCATCGGGTCACGGAAGCCTGCAGTCGTAGGTACATATATGTGCGTATGGACGCGTCTATGGATCGAGGGGGTCGCCTCGGGACTGACACTCGAGGTAAAGGGGGATGGCCGAGCCAAACTTCAACTCGGATGTACAGCACATCCACATACTCATGTTGCGGCAAGTTATATACGCGACGCGTACGTAATAGGAGCAGTGGCGGAGAGAGAAGCGACTTCCACCACCTTGTGTATACCCATCATATACCTATGCACTCTTTGGCTTCGAGAGTATATAGAGGAGTCGAGCGAGCTAAGCAGGAAGAGCGAGAGAGGGAGCAAAAAGTCTACACACACACACACACACCGCACTCTTGGGCGCTATACCTGCGGTGTGCAGGTATATATATATATATATGTATACCTTACGCGGTGTAGAGCGAGAGAGGGCATTCGGCATGTGACTGATCCCCTCCCACCTCTCTCGGAGCTCCTCTTCTCTCTTTCTATCTCGTCAACCTGAACCTGTTGCCGCCGAGAGAGAGAGAGGGGACTGTGTATAGAGAGGAGGGCCCCGTGGAGGAGCTCTTCTCTGGGGTCCCAAGCTCTACAGCCATGCCGGCCTCTGGCCCGCTCCCATTACGGCGCGGACAACTCGCGCGGCAGGTGCACGGCGCATACATATACTGTACAACAGATTGTGCTCCCGATTTCACTGACGATGACAGTTCGCGGCTACGTGGGCAATTGAACACACGTTTGTAAGTAATTACGTCGTATATCGGCAAGTGCGCAACTCTACTTTTCTTTCTTTTTTCTACGCGAAAATACGTATAAACGGCAAAAATAACGTGCCGTGTACACAGTGTAGCGTGTATAAACACACGATTTACGCGTATACTTAGGGAGGGAGCATGTGACGGTGGAGTACCGATCGGTTGGGATCGGTGCGATCGATCGATCGGTCGGATCTTGTGCTGGTGCCTTTTTGACGCAAGAAGAAGAGGAGGAGGAGGAGGCAAGTAAGGGTGGTTAGTAGTCGCGGGTGTGCCTGCACCCCCGAGTATAGCTGGACCAGCTGGACGTCATTCTGGCGCTGAGGCCGGCCGGCCGGCCGGACGAGTGGCGATGCCCGAAGCGCCGGCGCCGGCTCTCTGAGAGGATGCGCGAGCTCGACACCGAGAGCCCAGTCGTCTGGCCTGCGTGGTGCTACACCGGTACGTTATTACATTGCCTTATTCTCCAACCCGCCTGTCGCGCCGGCTGATAACGATCGTGTGTCCGTGCGTATAACCTGTTGACGCGTCTGTTTGCGTAACCGAGATTTACAACTCTTTTATTTACCCACGCGGTATAACTATACGCATACATAGGTATACATCTGTTGACGATTTACATCTTCCATACGCTACGTCCTTGGAATCGCAATGTATACACGGGGAGTAAATTGAAAATCGGCAGTGGTCCACCGAGAGATGATTTGCAAGCAAAGACGGACATGGATGGGTGATACGAGCGCGCGAACAAAAGTTGGCGATTCGAGCGTCCATGTATAATATATATATGTATACCAGTATAAGTGTTATTTAAAGTCCGTAAGAGCGAGCACGTGCTGCGCGCACATTTATATTATGGGCAGGTATTAATGCAGGAAAAGGAGGCATCACACTCGGGAGCAACAGCGCGCCGAGTCATCTTCCTTAATTGCTAGTTCTCGCCGCCTATTAGCGCACGGGTGTACCTATACACGTTCACTTGACCGTTTGCCTCTTTGGTTCCCCTCGATTCGACCTGCGTACAAAATGTATTATAATCCCCTTTCAACCTTTTTTTCTTCCGCAGCTTCTTCTTTTTTTTTTTTTTATTTTATTTATTTTTTTTTTTGTTCGTAAATTTTTCCCTGCCCTTATGTATACTTATACTGGTGTCCCGAAAACGCGAGTCTTTTAACCCACATAAATCGTGGATCGGTACATGTCACTTGGATTGTTTCATTCACACTAGATACGATGATCGATGGGTAGATACATGTACTTATATTCGTAGTTGTCCTGCGTGACGCAAAAAGCCCAAGAAGCTGTACAAACGGTGGGTAAAAATGAGCCATCAACGAACAAATTTTAAAAACGCTGAAAAGAGAGAGAGAGAGAAGGGGAGATAGAGTCGTCAAACCATACACGAATGTACCACCTATACGTATATATATATATATATGTACAGACTCTCATCGTTTTAGTATATACTTATTCCTTCTTCTCCTTCGATTCTTTAATTGAGCTATCTAATGGTATCACCGCCGACGGTATATGTATATACATAGGTATTTATACGAATGCATAAAACGCGCTGTTTATGGGGGATACGCTTATATACATAAGCTTCGGGTGAGGCTCGTCTCCGCTGCCTCGGTGTACCAAAGGAAGGACCACGTATACAGGGGAGGGAGGAAGAAAAGCCGGTTCGCCCCGATAGAGACGTGTTTCCGAGCGTTATCCCGCTCGCGGGACAGATACGAGCCTCTTAGTGGCAAATCTTACGAGCCCATGTTATTCGAGGAGGGGACGAGCCTCCCTCGTTCCTCGCTCATACCCTCGGTATACACACGCACACACGTCAAGCTTTTTCATTCCTTCTTATTTCCGTAAGTGCAGTGTGTGTGCGAAAAGGGAATATCGAGCAAAAGCCATCAGGGGACACCGAGACGCCATTATAACAACCTCCTCCTCCTCCTCCTCTGGGCCCGTTGTGTGTGTGTGTATATTAAGTGCCACGGTGTTAACGAGCCACACCGGCCAATCTTCTGTTGAACTTGATATTTTTCGCTTCGTATATATCCTTTGTACGGCTGCCGCCCCAATACTGTCGTGTATGTACACATCACCGCGCGAACAGATTCTGGCTCTACGACCAGTGCCGTAACGACCGGCAATAATATTCATTCCCATATATGTATAAGTGTATATCACGACGTGGATAACGTAATTCCTTTCCAACTGAAATCACACGTTTGCCCGCAGGTATCTCCGTTTTCGTGTTCCACCCCGTACATATGATATAATATACGCGAGTAAAGCGATCATCCCCATACGTGTGTATATAGCTGCGGTAATTTGGCCAAGAGCACACCGACCTTTGTTACACGCACAGCAAGTGGGTTTGGTATACGCATAAATTGTCCGCTTTTTTCCGTCGAATAAATAATATATTTATGTACATTGTATAGGCGTACAGTGTGCCTAATACATGTATAGAGTTTGAGTGAACGCGAGGGGCATAAAAGAGGGGCATCCGTTACCAACGGCCAGCAATAACAATAACGAGGGAGAGAGATCGAGGCTGCGGTCGTATCGCCCGACCGCGACTGTGTATACCCACGCAGCAATGGACCGAAGCCAGCGGAGCTACTCGTGCGTGCGGCCTTTTTTTTTTTTTTTTTTTTTTTTCCTTTTCGTCGAAACTCTTGACTTTCAAGTCCCAAAGACGGATCTCATCGTATAGCGGATGTGTGATTGAATGCACTTCTTTGCCCGAATAATAGAGACGAGTAATGGTCTCGGGTGTGCGTGTACCGATATAATATATATACACTGATACATCGGAACGAGAGCGAACGCGGATCGGCGTCGCTCGGCCTCCCCGTAATAATATTATACGTACGAAAGTGGACATTAGAGACATCGGTAGCCGGACGGACGGGCGGTCGGGTGCACACGGAAGGGGCAAAAAGTCGGCCGGGCCGGTGGTGGTGTAAATATGCAGGCACCATGAGAGAGATTCCTCGGGTCGAGAGAGAGAGAGAGAGAGGGGCGGGGGTTTTCTCGGAGAGCCCGTGATGTATACTCGTATAGAAGTTGACAGACGGCCGGGGCTGCCGCCGCCACAGGAGCAATCTCCCGGACAATTAGCCCGCAGTTCGTGACGGTTCGCTCGACCTCCTCCTTCCCCCCCCCCACCCTTCTCTCTCTCATCCGCGAGTTCCAGATCTCGTCCCTCTCTCTCTCTCTTACCTGCCGTTTATATACCTAATGACCCGGCAGGTGTGCACCGGTGAGCAGCTCTCTCGCGTCATCTTTCCTCATCTCATCCTCGAAGCTATACATATATACATATATATATATACACACCGGCTTGTACCCGTACACATACATACATACATACAGGTGTACCAAGAGCGCGAGGCCACCCGGCCGGCGTTCATCTATATACTGCAGGTCTCTCTCGGGTTGCGATCGCGAATATATATTCGGCCGAGTCACTATATATGTATGCAGTGGTAAAGGTACATCGGGTAGCGAATCGCAGTCGGGAGCGTCAACCGATGGTTCCAGCCTTTATATATATATAGGGTACATACAGTTGTACGCCCCAACTCGATGGCTCTGATCCCTTTTTTTCATCCTGTATACGTAGCAGCTCTTGTTTTTCTTCATACCACCACGACCGAGGATAGTGCGGGTAGGGGGTGTATGTATACACAAAGTCCAGCCCGCCGGGGGCAATCGTCCCCGTCATTTCCTCCTTTTTGCTCCGTGTAACGACATTACACGCCTCCGCGCGTCCAATCGGATACTTGCTTGCTTGTATACAATACAATACACCTGCGGATGGAGTAATATATATGTATACCTATCCCTATAGAAATCGAGTTTGACCATTGAACGGTGAAAGAAAAAAAACGACAGCTGGCTGTCTCGGAGCAGAGTTTTCTCGCACTCGTGGGTTCGTGTCAAGTGACGCTTAAGCTATATTTTATACATATATATAACTTAAACGATCCGCAATTGCGTACCCCCGTGCATATGTCTATATGAGCTCTGATGCCGTATTGTATTGGAGACATAGTGATTTTAAACACCGTTAATTCCAAACCGAGTCGAATCGTTGTCGAGGCTTTTGTAAATAAATGTATATACAAAAACAGTAGTATACACCGGCCGCTCTCGATGCATACAACGCGAGGTATGTGTCTTTTCTTTCGCCCGGAAAGCGAGCCCAAGAGCTGCGACACGAGTCGGTCTACCTTCACTAGGTGATGATAAAACAGAAGATTAGATAAAGCTTTGTGGCGTTGCTGTTGTTGGTCTAGAAAGCCAACCGATTCTTGCAAAGTAGGTATATAGTGTATCGTGTATGCACATATTATAATACTGGAGCGATCGAGAGAGCTACGAATGGACATTACCGATTTTCTTTTTTTTTAAACAAAAATAGAGTCACCAGATGCCTACATATAGAATACGAAAAAAAAAAGAGAGCTGGGCGTTCACATTTTCTTCGCTGCAGCTCACCCAGGGGCGGGGGGAGGGGGTCACAGTCTCTCTTTCTGCAGCTGTGCAAGTGTATACGTATATACTGTACCTTGTACCTATACCGATCTCTCCGCGAGCTAATTTTAATCGGCTACAGGTATACATCTACGTGCGCGCCTCGGAAACCAGAGCAAACTTCTCCGTCTTGTGTATACGTATGTATAATATATACATATAGCGCGAACGGACGTCAGATGCATCGCCCGCAGCTAGGACGAAGCTGTATCCGTTCCGTTGGTACATACACGTATATATACGTGGGATGGGGGAGACGAGCCGACCGCACGGTAGGCGCAAAGCGCATTCCATCGCCTTTAGCGGTTATCACGTATATATACATACATAGCGTATAATACACGTATATATGTACGCGCCCACTCGGACTCCTGCGAGTGTATACTTTTAACGCGATCATCTACCTTTTTTTTTTTTTTTTTTCTGCGTAAGTATATTTATGCACCGGGGACTTGTACATTTTGTTACATGTACATAATATGTTCGTAAAATCGGTATCTACTTTACGTATAATTTCCGTCCACCCTATATGTACCATACCACAGTTGCATTGTCTAAAGAACATTTAATAAAAATTAAAAAAAAGATAATGTATATAATATGTATGGATACGTGTCCGCTGTTATACATATAGAGGACTCTCTTTGGGCGCGCAGCCACACGTGTCTCTTTTACCTTTTACCTGTCTCGTGAGAGCCGTGTCCAACCGGGTATACCTACTTACCCACACATTTTTATTGAAAAACACGCGCCTAGACACATACGTTATCGGACACATGCACGTATAGGTATATGTATATCGTAGACAGGGGACAGAAAAGGTGGAATCGGGTTTCGAGTGTGCGTGTCGGGGACCCGCTCCCCGGACTACTATATACTCGACCGATCGTACA